ATCCGTTTTCCACCCGTGTCCTTTTCGGCTCATGGACCCAATCCTGGTTACCCTCCCTGTTGCCTAAAGCTGTCTTGTTTCGTTGGTCCCCTCTGGTCTGGAACAGCTGAGCCTCTGCTGCTTTTGACACTGTGGAGGACTGATGAGGTATTTTGTAGGCTGGCCTCTGATTTTGGCTGTTGGATGTTTTCTTGTGATTTGGGGGAAATACTCAGAGGTGCAGTGCCCGTCTCATCACACTGGACCGTGGGCTGCATGATGTGAGCAGGACTTGGTCGGTTGTGACCCTGGTTATTCGGTGAAGGTGGTATTTGCTGGGCCTCTGATCTGTGATGTGACAGTTGTCTCTCTTGTTGGTTTGGTTCTTGGAAGCCATTATTCAGTCCAGCTCACATTCAGAGGCAGCAGAGGGATTTTACATTAATTGAATTCTTCTCCCTGTATTTATTTCATCACTTATATGTATCAGTATGGACTCATGCATTCATTTGTACTTTGGGTTATTGGGTTATAACCTAACACATGCTATCGTATTGCACAAATTGTTCCAGCTTTGACCAGTGGGTATCTTTCAGGTAGGCTTCTGTGTCCCTCTGACACACCCCATCCTTCGTTAGGAACACTGCCTTCCTTTCTGGTACCAGGAGGTAGATGCTCCGGACTTACCTTGGGTTTCCTTGTCCCAGCATCACCCATTTTCCTCCATGGTTGTGGTTCTTTTTAATGGAGAACAGTATTTAGAAACCAGATCTGGGTTCAGGTGTTCTCACTTCAGGGGTGTTGCTGCTTCTCAGCCCTCAGCTCACATTTGAGAGATGCACATACTGACTGACTTGTAATGATTTCTGTGCCTGCTTGTCTGTGTTGTCACCTAGACACCAGTTCTTACAGATGTCCCCATGGCTAACCTAGCATCACAGGGTCATGCTGGCCTCCTCCTCCTCCCTTTGCATATTTCTACTCCCATTCAATAACGGGGAGACACCAGCCAACCCAGCATCTATTTACTGCCACCTTACACACGTGAGTGGTTTCTGTGCTGTTCACCCCCGCCTGCCCCCAGACAGATTACAGAGACATGTTCAGTGTCTGTGTGTCTCCGTCCTCAGGCCTCACAGCTTCCACTCAGAACCTCGTTTTCCAAAGTGACTTTGGGGGGCTCCCCCTCCCAACTCAGTGGGATTATTTCAGATATTTTACAATACAGTTCGATACATTTGTCAATCTGCATTCTGCCCTGGTACCCCTGCCATCCTGGCGGATATTTTGAAAATGTGTGTGCATTGAAGTTCATTCCCTATAGGAGATGTACAGTCATTTGACTTTGGACAGATACATAGTCATGTGTCCCCCACCCAGACAGTTAGCACCCATTGGAACCTTGCAGTGTTTAATGCCATGTTGCCTTTCCTCGCATAAAGACATAGTGGGTTTTAATCTTGGGGAGGAACATTAGAATTTTAGAAATCGAAGGAACCTTAAAAGATCCACTAATTTTACGTTCTTACTAGGCAAGTTGGGCATCAAGCCAGAATTGGAACCTAGACATTTTGGTTCTGCTCCCCTCCCCATCTCTGAGATGGGCAAGGTGAGCAAGACAGGCACAGATTGCCTCACTTTGCTTTAATTTAGGCCTCAAGTCTATGCTTATAGGCGTGATTTTTTTATTTTTTTGTTTTAGGAGCTTAATCCTAGCAGACAAGTATTTGTTTAATATTGGGTGAGCTTTGGGGGAATAATTGAAGGTGTTGTTAATCATTTGCTAATTAGTATTGTGAATTATTAACAGTTCGTTCACCTTGCTTTTTTAAAAAAATGTATTTTTATTGATTTCAGAGAGGAAGGGAGAGAAATAGTAATAGCAATAATGAGAGGGAATCATTGATTGGCTGCCATCTGCACGCCCCCTACTGGGGATCGAGCCTGCAATCTGGGCATGTGCCCTTAACCAGAATCGAACCTGGGACCCTTCAATCCACAGGCCAGCGCTCTATCCACTAAGCCAAACCGGCTAGGGCCACTTTGCTTTTTAATGCTAGTCTGAAACCAAATGTCTGAGTGAACAAGGAATTGTATTTTGGAAAGAGGTGACTGTGGAGTGCTCCACATTCCACTCTCTGGAGGCAGATGAAAGTTCTCTAGAAGTCTCCACGGATGTTGGCTTTCACTGAACAGAGTATATCTTGTTAATCTTTATAGGTAGTTTAAAGGCTCTTTGGGGGCCCCTGAAATGAGACTCTCCATTTTCATTCTTGTGGTGCTTGCCAGGCACCACGCTGGACCCTTGACATACAGTTGAGTAAGCTTTGTACCTTGTCATCTGTCAAGAGAGGATTTGAAAAAAGGAGCATTTAAAAGAAGGAGCGTGTGAAAGAAGGAGCATTTGTCCCCAGTTGGTGGCACAGATGTGGCCAGTATGGGCATGGCTCATACTAATGCTGTTTCAGCTTTTTATTGATTTTTTTCTTTTAAAAGTCTCTTAGAAGCATAACTGTACCACTCTAACACAGCTATGGTGGTTTTTGTCTTTTTCCTTCCAGTCTTTTCCCATAGTTTTACATGGTTGTATGTACAGGATAGTATATTCTGAAATGGTTTTTGTTTAGTATTTTGTCATAAACTTTTTCCAAGTTTCTTCACAGCACCATGTAGCGTGTGTATTTACCCAGCTCCTTATTGTTAACTTGTTTTTTTCACAGGAGTCCACCCCGATACTTTTCATGTTCCCAGTGTTTTTTATTGGGCACACTGGTTTCCTAGGCTCTATTTCCTGGAGTAAAATTACTAGGTCAGAGAGCATGACCATCTTACAACTCTGGAAATACGTTGCCTATTGTTTTATAACCCAACAGCCTTCCTTGAAATCATGTCAGATTAGACTGATAAACTGCCTACTCTGCCGCCATCACCTATTACCACTTTCCCCAGGCTCGGTAGGGTGGGGCTGCACACACACCTTCGGCCGTGCACCTGGCTCTTCTGATGGAACTCCCATCTAGGCAGTGCCCGAAGGGCAGCCCCTTCTCTCGCCTCCAGTGGTGGTGAGGATGATGTGGTAAGAATGCAGTGAGACACGCTGCCCAGTAGCTGGCAGCAAGTGGGCAAGCCACGTCATCTCTGGACTACTCTCCTGGAGAGGGGCAGGGCCCGTCTCTGAACTGCTCCCAGCCTCGGTTTCCCAGAAGAATGGGTTAATAAACTCTGTTATAAAATATAAATATTGAGTATGTAATATTCAACTTACACATTAATTCTGCCTTATTTCCTCTGAAAGATGTCTATGGAGCAAGCAGTCACACTGTCTTTTCTAGAACTCCTTGCAGAGGTGGGGAGCAAGGGTGTGGTAACTCATACCCTTTCATTTCAGGGCCTCTTAAGAGACTTTAACAGTAAGTCTTCTCTTACATGGAGACTGAAGATGTTGGCAAAATATCCAGGACCTAGTGATTTAGAAATGCTTTGAAACATCACTGTACATATATAAAGTTCTACTAGTATATAATAAGTGAGTTGAGGTAGAGAGCTTAGACTTGAAAGTTATCCTTTTCAGAATGTGAGGAGATGAAGCTGGCCTAATTTAGTTTTTCTTGTTTATACTTTTCTATTTTAGCGAATGTACAATATTTTTAGATTAAGGGATATAACAAGACAAGATTTTCCTATTCTAAGAAATAGAACATTAGCTGACTAATTGTATATTTTATTTTTTCTTACAAACTGAAATATCTTTATCAAAAACTTTATCTCAGGAATACAGAAAAGTATTTTTCCTTTAAATATGCATCTTTAAGAAGTTTGCCTCTAAATGAGATTTCATTATAACTAACTTTCCAATAAAATTTGGTGACTGCTTCTGTTACAGAAATCAATGAAAAATGAGAGTGACTCCACAGTGACATCCAGTAGGTGACCATTGAACACTTGAACTTAATTCCTAATGTAATTTAATTCTATGTAGCTTCATATTGGACAGTGGGGTTGTAGAAATTTACACCTACATGATTTTCACCTTTAGCTGAATCACCTGATTTAGTTTAAAATTATGTTTTCTAAAATACTTTATTATAGGAACAAAAACTGCAGATTTTAGTTGAGTGAATGAGTTTGGGAAACAGCAAGAGAGGAATTGACTGTTTTTAACTTTAAATATTTTAGGAAAATGTTTTTCAGTGCCTTTGGTGTGTGTTTAGGAACAGATGCCTTTTACTTTTCCCTGGGACTTGCTTCTCAGCCCCTCCTTGGTATGTCACAGACACTAGAGATAGGCGGGTGACTTTTTGCAGTGGGCGAGCCAGTAGACAGACGTAAGGAGGCTTTGGCTATAGTTTTCATCACTAAAAAGGCAGTAAATTTAGACTTAGCCCCCATGGTGGTTCTGAACCTGGTGCCACATGACTAGGACTGGTCTTTGCACAGAATAAGCATGTGACAATTATTTGGGGGTAAATGTGTTCATTCTTGTTATTATCCCCATATGCTGAATGCTTCAGAGTATTTAACTATAGGAGATGGAAATACTTGACTTTTATTTTTTTAAAACCCTGTCTGATTATTTTCCTATTTGACACATTTGATCTACTTTGAAGAAATTATTTTGGTTTCACTGAGGGTAGCTGGCTTCTCTGTCATCTTCCTTCCCACTTCTTTATTTTCCTGTTCTCTTTTTTCCATCACTCTCTTTTACTTCAAAATACTGGGTTTGGGGCGGGGGTCAGGGGGCTTATCATTGTATATTTGTAAGCAAGATGATCTTTGACCTTGACAAGAAATAAAAAACTAATTTGCAGTGTGGATGGATGGGATCATATGTTATTGACAAGGAGATGATTTCCCATTTGAGCAATGTGCTGCACACTTTATTATGGCACTCTGGACCTTCTGGCTGTCTTGGATATTTCCCATATCTGAAATTTTTGGATTCTGTATAGACATGTCTGCACATTGAGCATGTGCTGCTGTGGTGCCTGGCCTCTGATCAAGTGTCCTTCTTGCTCGCACAGGTTGCACAGAGCATCGAGGACCATCATCAAGAAGTCATTGGTTTCTGCAGAGAAAACGGCTTTCATGGTTTGGTTGCGTACGACTCTGATTACGCGCTGTGCAACATCCCCTACTATTTCAGTGCCCATGCCCTAAAACTGAGCCGGAATGGGAAAAGTCTCACCACAAGCCAATACCTGATGCATGAAGTGGCCAAGCAGCTGGACCTGAACCCAAACCGCTTCCCTATCTTTGCCGCTCTGTTAGGTAGGTGGGCAGTGTGAAAGCTACCTCAAGTCATAAAGGAATTCTGTACCAAGAACATACTGATATTTTAATTTCTAAAGCTGGAGTGTTTTGGATTCAATCTTAACTTCAAAAGAACCAGGGAATGGGTTCCTCCTCAAAAGCATTTCTTTTTTTTTTTTTTAAACTGAGCTTTTTTAAAAAATATATATATTTTATTGATTTTTTACAGAGAGGAAGGGAGAAAGTGAGGGATAGAGAGGTAGAAACATTGATGAGAGAGAAACATCGATTCAGCTGCCTCCTGCACACTCCCAACTGGGGATGCACCCGCATCCATCATGCCCTTGACGGGAATCGAACCCGGGACCCTCCAGTCTGCCGGCTGACACTCTATCCACTGAGCCAAACCGATCAGGCCTCAAACGCATTTCTTAATATTATTTTTGGCATTGCTCATAATGTGCTTCTTTTGTTCTAATGTGTTCATTTATGTATTATACTGTCCAAGCTGAACAACTAATTTTGTTAATAAATTCACTTAAAGTTTGGGCAAAATAACAGTTTAAAAAAATCACAAATGTTAACACAGTCCGACTCTGAAAATTAGACATTTAAACCTTTGGCATAAGTTGTGTTTCTTATAGAAGAAAATCTGCTATGGTTCCCGCCCCCCCTTCACTTTGGGGACGCTCACTACTTTAAAAGAAAAGCAACAAAAGTAAACTATCTTACCTTGTTTACAATGCCTACATTTTAAGTAAATATATACATGTCTATAAAAACTCCCTTGGAGAAATTCCTTATGTTGAATACATAGAAAGGAAAGGAAGAAATCTTATTTTAATTAAGATTTTATATATACATATATATATTTGCTTAAAAATAACTCACTTTATGCCTGGATATTATAGTTATTTTCTTTCTTTTCTCTTTTGTCGGTTTCTCTGTATGCCTGTAACTACTTGAATATCCACTTCTAGGTTGCTGCCAGTGTGTAAGAATTGTGTCCGCAATATAAGTAAGCATGTTTTGAGCAGTATAAATATGTTTTGAGCAAAGCCCTCCTGTGATTAAAATCCATGAGCTGCAGTGATGGGATTGAGGGCTATTTGTAGCACATAAACCCTTTGTGAAAGATTTGTGGCCTCAAGAGAGTGAGATCACATTGTACTCTCAGTTTGTATCTGTAGAGGTTAGTGGCCCAATCTGGTTGTATGGGAATTATATTGTGGAGCATTTTTAGAAATTTCTAGTTATCAGATTTTTATGAACATTCTAAAAAAGTTATACACAATTAGAAATTATTGTAAACAAATTTTCACATTTTACAAGCCACACATTTTCACTTTATTTGGTGTTAGCAAATTGTGTAACTACCATAATCGGTCAACAAAATTCTGATTTCATAAATTGTTTGGATCTAATCTCGTATATGTGTCTTTAAGTTTGCACATCTCTGTTTTCTCACTGTCTTCTTAGGCAACTTATGTGACTTGAGATTGGAGGATTAAAATTAATTTTCTAAATCTGCTTTCATATTTTTAAATATCTATATATATAAAAGCCTAAGTGACTGAACAACCGAACAACCAAACGACCAGTCAATCAAACGACCAGTCGACCGGTCGCTATGATGCACACTGACCACCAGGGAGCAGACGCTCAGTGCAGGAGCTGCCCCGTGGTGGTCAGTGTGCTCCCACAGCGGGAGTGCCACTCAGCAGACTGACAGGTCTCTGTGGCCCACCAGCCTGGCAACAGCCACTCACTCCCTCAGTAGTCCTGCAGGTCCAATCTCCGGAGAAGGGCCCAGGCACCAGTGGACCATTGCTGCCAGCATGATCCCGACAGCACCGCTGTCCTCCTGGAAGTCAGCCTCGGGCACCATGGTCACTTCCCTTCCCTAGACGCTGAAACGATATAAAAGCGGCTGCCAGGTGGCTCCCGACAACTGGCACGAAAGTCAGTGGGACGAATCCAGATGCCAGCCTGGCAAGGGCATCCCAGAGGGCTGATTGTGTCCTGGCCCCCACCCCTCACTCCCCTCGGGACCAGCGCTAGACACAGGGCTCACAGCTGGCTAGCGCCGCTACAGTGGTGCAAGCCTCTCCTGATCAGGACTCACTGGGCGCAAGCCTGCGGCAGGCGCAGTAAGGCTGGGATGAGCAGGAGCGGCAGACGGCGTTGGACTGCTGGTTTAAGGCCCAGTCCCCACAGGCTATGCCAAGAAACCCCACCCGTGCACAAATTTGTGCACCAGGCCTCTAGTTAAAATATAAACGTGTATTTCTCTGATGTTAAAATTGATTATGTAGATGGTCACATTACAAAAAGTTTTATATGTACTTAAACATTATGTAAAATGACTTGGGTATATTAACTGATTTTTAATAAACTGGAAAAGTGTATCCTTTTAGAATAGGAATGCCTTTGCTAGTTTGAGATGTAGAAGGATAGTTTATTTTATTTAAGAAACATTGACTATATTTCATGGGAGATAATGCCAACTCATTCTCTCCTAACTACGTTATTTTGTGAAATTTTAAAATAAATGAAAGACAATCAGTAGTTACATATTGAATAATTTAGTAATGAATTAATTTAGGACTTGGAATTTCTTGAAAAAACTTAAGCAAGTTATAGGCAAACTCTTAATTGGGTGGGCATTTTTATTTTAGATTTTGTCTAAAAGTTTCAAAGTCCTCAAATGAGAAAGATTATATTTTTTTTTCATTTTTGTAGTAGAAAGTATAGTTATATAAGTAGTTTTGCTTTAGAACAGTTGGGTGCAATATTCATGTAACATGTATTTGACTCATGTTTTAACAGACTATTACTGATGTAATTGGGTGAATATTTTTTTATATAAAAGCTTTAAAAAAATCTCAGACACTTCATACGTCACAGTAAAGTTCTGTGCAATCTGTGAAAAGAGGAACACAGTGCAGAGCAGTTACTAGACAGGACATAGCTAAGCTCCTGGGCATGATGGCAGTTCAGCACTTCTGTGTCTTGTTTGGTGTGTTTAGAATATTATGATCAGGCCCTGACCGGTTTGGCTCAGTGAATAGAGTGTCGGCCTGTGGACTGAAAGGTCCCAGGTTTGATTCCCGTCGAGGGCATGTACCTTGGTTGCGGGTACATCTCCAGTGGGAGGTGTGCGGAAGGCGGCTGATCGATGTTTCTCTCTCATCGATGTTTCTAACTCTCTGTCTCTCTCCCTTCCTCTCTGTAAAAAATCAACAAAATATATTTTTAAAAAAAGAATATTATGATCGGGAATGCTGCAAATAATCTCACCCTGTTTTGCTTTCTGTTAGCCAATTAATGAGTCTGCTGTCCACGTGGTGGTGACTAAATTATGATATATAAATCACAGAATTATTTAGGAAATTACTGCTTTTAAATTGTACTGAGATAACTAACAGATTGAAGATGTTTATATATTAGGCAGCAAGCACTAAATGAAGGGAGAATGTTTCCCCAAAATGTAGCTTTTTAAACTGTATACAGTGCTCATTTGTGACATAGCCTGGCGATAGGGTGCACAGCTGAATGACACTGCTTGGTGGTGTTAAGATCTGTTCTTTGTCACATCTATTTGTGGGTGGTGGTAGGAATTATGGGAGGAGGGTGTTGATCCATGCCACGAGCAGTAGTCATTGTCACCTAAATTTTATAACTGTAGATTTTTACCTTTGCTGTTGAACTGGTTTACAGAATGCAATCTTCATTTGAGCCAATGAAAACTTGCATCAAGTTGGCATTATCGGGCTGTGCTTAGGTTGTTACACAGTGTGCTCAGTGTGGGTGCTGCCGGAAGCGTACTGCAAATTCACGTTGTAGTTAAGGCAACTGCAAGACGTGGGCCTGCTCTGTGCTGCTTTATATTAAAAGATAAAGAAGTATTCCCAATTTCTGTGTGGAAGTTTTATGTGGTTTGTCAAATGAGGTAATCTTAGGATTCTAACTGCAGTGATCATTTCCCTGTGTCACTATGGTGATGGCTTTTTTAGGTTCCATGTTTGCCTTCCAGGAAATCACATTCTACCTGATGAAGACCTGGCTTCCTTTCACTGGAGTTTACTTGGTCCGGAACACCCACTTGCCTCACTTAAGGTACAGATTCATTTCATTTCCAACATTTGTAATATTCAACTGTTGATTTTGTTGTTATTTTAATATACATAATGTTCGTTTATTGTAGAAGGAACCATGCCACAAAGTTAGCAGTGTTGTGCTTTCCCCTAACTTCAGGATCTGCCTGCCTTAAAAAGTAATCTGCCTTGGCTTATCCCCAACACATATATTTTAGAGAAATTATAAATGTCCTTAAAATTTCCTTAGAGGAATTCTTCATGCCCTACACCCAGAAGGTGGAATTCTTTCAGCTAAAGATTTTATATATTAATTTTCTTATTTACAAATATGAGTTTTTCAATAGGTGGTAGAGTCACCTCTACCTTAGATCAATGTGTTAGCCTGTACCTATGTGTAGCCAATTGACATGCTTCTTCCAGAGCCCCCTTGCCTCTGCCTCTTCTCAGAGCTCCATCCAAGACTCAGCCTTTGCACTTCTCCCTTTCTGATTTAATATTCTGTAGTGTTTACAACCCTACCTTCCAATTCACTGATTTTTAGTCACTCACCTTCCTTTAATAGCATTACCTTTCCCTTAGGCAGCTGGAAACCAGGGCATCCTATCAGGTCACATCAGGAACAATTCGTTTTAATTTACCTGGATTTTTTTCTAATGCTATCCCTAACTTTATGTTTTTTTATGTCTTACTGTCTGCCATCAAAAGTCACTGAGCAGTGTTTTTTTACAGGTGTCGTTAGGAAGTGTGTGTTCAACCCCAGGGAGGAGGAATCTAGGCTGGTTCCCAGAGAGTAACATGCTAGGGTCCCAGAAACATGGATTGTACAGAAGTGTGAGGTGGGGACATATGGCAGGGCTCTCGGCAGATATCGGGGTGAAGTGTTGGCTCAGAAGTTCTCTTCCCTCTCCAGCTTACTTGATGAGGAGCTGTGGGCATCAGCTGCACTGGCTGCCCAGTGTCTAGCCATCTCACAATCCATACCCACTGGGCCTGGGCCCTGTTTGGGTTTCATGTCATACATGGAGCCAGCTTCCAGAGTGAAAAGCAGCATAATTTGAGGCACTTTGAAGGTCTATGGTTTATCTTACATCGTATGCAACTTTATCTGAGCGAGGTAGGACATTAGATCCTTTTTGGAATCCTATTTGAGAGTAAGTTGGGTAGCCCTAGACGGTTTGACTTAGTGGATAGAGTGTTGGCCTGTGGCCTGGAAGGTCCCAGGTTTGATTCCGGCTGGGGAGGTTTGCGGGAGGCAGCTAGTCAATGATTCTCTCTTATCGTTGATGTTTCTATCTCTTTATCTCTCTTCCTTCCTCTCTGAAATCAATAAAAAAAATATATATTAAAACAAACAAACAAAAACGTAAGTTGGGTATAAATTGTACATAAATAGAAAAATGGGCTTCATTTATTCTGAGTTCTACCTTTTAAGGCATTAGGAGGTAGCGGTTTGGGCACTGCAGACCTTTCAACTGAGGAATTCTTCCCCCTGTATTTGTGTTAATTGAAGTTAACTCAATATATTCCCTTCTCAAGAAGGCATCATATAGTTTTGTAAGAGCCAAGCAGCACTTCTAAAATCCAAGGACATTTTGGGCTCTAGAGCAATGGTTCTCAACCTGTGGGTCGCGAGCCCTTTGGGGGTCGAACGACCCTTTCACAGGGGTCGCCTAAGACCATCGGAAAACACATATATAATTACATATTGTTTTTGTGATTAATCACTATGCTTTAATTATGTTCAATTTGTAACAATGAAATTGGGAGTCACCACAACATGAGGAACTGTATTAAAGGGTTGCGGCATTAGGAAAGTTGAGAACCATTGCTCTAGAGGAAATAATGTTAGGGGCCTGGAAGGTTGAGAAAAATAAACCATTATGTAATGTGGAGGTGAGAGCTACTTAGAATCTCACTCTTGGAAGATAACCACTTTTAATAGATTGATACTTGATCCTCCAGAATTTTTAAAAAATGTACATTCTATTAATTTGTGATTATAATGTCACTATCATTATGCACATTAGCTGTACATTCTTAACGATCCCAGTGGGACTTTAGTGCACTGTACCAGGCTCTCAGCTTTTAGATTGTGAAAACCTGTTTTTAGTTAAGAAGTTTTATTTTAAATTTATATATGGAATCCCTAAAAAGAAAATATAAAACCAAACTCACCAGAGTTTTACTTGTTTATGCCTTTCCATTAGAGCTTCCTTCCCTGTTCCCCATTGGTTCTCAAGTGAAGGTGGAAAGTTTGAAGTTCCAAGGAATCTGCTGGAATGGGTGCAACTCAAGTATAGCTTTTTTGTCTGTTTTACAGATGGGGGAGGGGTTCCCACATCACATCTCTGGGAAAGGGTCAGAGTCTTGGGCAGGATTTGTGCTCCCCAGTTGTTACAGATTGCTTTCAGCTCGCCTTGTCCCGGGAGGGACTGGGTCTGCCAGCAGATTCTTCCCGAGCAAGCTGGAATGCATGTTCCATCCAGAAGCAGCAGAGCTGAGGCATGAGAGGGGAGACTCACCATGTTTACCGTGCCTGGCTTCTGAGGCTGTGGGTGTCAGGAAACAGAGGGAAGCTCAACTAGTGGCCTTTCTGCTCTCTCTTTGTCTTCTCATGACCTGGAAGCTTCTAGTTTTATGTTAAATTTAGCAGTATATTTTCAGTCTTTAAATAAGTGTGCAGAACATTTCCAGCTTATTTCCGCCCCCATGGATCGGGAACCCCGGCACTGTCCATAAGCAGGCCTTCTTTGTCATGATTGGAAGAGATCATTTGTATTGGAATAAGGCTCTCCTGGTGGTTTTCCAACCTTGTCCTCACACACACCCTGCGCCTCCCCAGTGGACCCTGCACACCGAACACTGAGGCAGCTCACCCTGAGATAGGGCCTTGCTTGAGACGAGACAAATCTGGGACCAGAGGACATGTGACAGAGTTGGAACTTGCCAGCCAGTTACTTCTAAAACTGCCATTCTTAGTTAGAAAGCATCTCTGTTTTTATGATAGCTTTCTTGAGACAGTTCACTTATCATAAAAATCTACCCCTTTAACACTAAAAACCAGTGGTGTTCACAGAGCTATGCAACCATCATCACTACATAATTTTAGAATATTTTTATCACCCCAGAAAGAAACCCTGTGCCAGTGGGCAGTCACTCCCCACTTCTCACTCTCCCCACCTCCTAGCAGCCACTAATCTGTGGATTTGCCTCCTCTGGATATTTTTTATAAGTGGAATTATGTGACTTCTTGTGTCTAGCTTTTCTAATAAGCATGTTTCATTTATGTTGTAGCATGTGTTAGCACTTCATTGCTTTTATGGCCAAATAATATTCCACTGTATAGATATAACTACCACAGTTTATTTATTCATCAGGTGATGGACATTCAGGTTGTTTCTACCTTTTGGCTATTGTGAATATTCATGGACAAATCCATGTGTGGAGCTAGCTATATTTTCATTTCTCTCAGGTATATACCTGGGACTGGAATTGCTGGTCAGGTGGTAACTCTGTGCTTAATATTTGAGGAAAACAACGGCTACACTGTTTACTTTCCTTCCAGCAGTTGTGTGAGGGCTGTGTTTTCCCCACATCCTCACCACTTGTCATTGTCTGCTGTTTTATCTTTAGCTGTCCGAGGGGTATAATGTTGTTTGGTTTGCCTCGCTGAGGACTGGTGATACTGAGCATCTTTCCCTGTGCTCACTGGCCAGTTGTATGTCTTCTTTGAATAAATATCTATTCAGATCCTTTATCTATTTTTAAATTGGATTATTGAGTTGTAAAAGTTCTTTTTAATATATTCTGGATCTATATCTCTAATCAGATACTAATTTGCAGGTACTTTCTGTGGTTGTCTCCACATTCCTTGATTGGGTCCTTTTGATAACTCTTTTGAGACTCAGGCCACCTAAATGTACCACTTTTTACTGCTCATAATCACTCCACTCAAGTCACTTTTGTCATTTGTTACAGCTTTGGGGATCTTATCAGTCTTTCCCATTGCCTTCCAGAATCCTCTGGGAGCTCAGTGTACTGGAGATTGCCCACAGACAACATGTCCTTTGTGTCCCTTAACTTCAGTGGTCTACCCTCTACTGTATTGTAGCCTTTTAGGCCCAGAGTCATACATTGGCTTTTCTATCTGAAGCTTTAATATCCCTTCTTTTCTCTGTCACCACTGCCTTCTACCTTTAGTAGTCTCACAAGCTAAGACTTTGCTCTTTGGCCCTCCTGGGGCCCTCTGCCCATTTTCTCACAGATTCTCTTTCCCTAGCCAGCCTGGGATCTCCTAGCAGGTTACCTTGAACTGATTGTACCAGCATCACTTTTAATCTTGCTCCTTCTTCCATCTCATCTGTTCAGCAAAGGCCTCTACCCTAGGTAGGTGCTATAGTCAGCATCCACTCATCTTGAGAATCACATGGCTGAACAGATGGATGCCACTACAAATTTATGGTCTAAGTTAAAGAAGGACCTAATAAATGGAGAGAGGTAATGTATTCATGGATCAAAAGACTGTTGTTATATAGTTTCACTACATCTTAATAAAAATCCCAGCAAACTTTTTTTTTTGGTAGAAATTGAAAAACTGATTTAAAAATTGACATGGAATTGCAAAAGACCTAGAATAGCAACAGAAATGCTGCAAAGGAAGAACAGAATAGAAGGACTTAAATGTTACCTAATTTAAAGACTCACTTTAAACTATAATAATCAACTCTGTGGTGTTGACATAAGGGTAGTCATGTAGATCAGTGGAGCAGAATAGGGTCCAGAAATAGACCTATACATGTGTGGTCAGTTGTTTTTGCCAGGAGTCTCAAGGTAACTAAATGGGGAAAGGATAGTTTCTACAATAACTGTATTCCAATGCAAAACTAAGAATATGAAAATATAAAAGAGATCTTTATGCCCTTGAGTTAGGCAGTGATTTTTTAGTAAGAATGAAAAGCAAGCAATGGAGTGAGAGGACCTGTTTGCAGAATATATCAGTGGTTGGGGACTTCTATCCAG